CCCCCCCCCCAGTGCCCCCAGTGCCCCTGGGCAGGGCCCCACCGGAGCTCCTCGCGCCGGCGGTTGATCAGCTCCTCCTCCAGCCGGTGCAGACACGTCCCCTCCGACTTGATCTTCTCGAAGTGCAGCTTCACCTCCTCCCGCCACTCCGCCTGTGGCACAGGGGCACTGGCTGCCATGGCCAACGGGCACCCAGGGCACCACGGGCACCAGACACCCAGGGCACCGGCCACCACAGCCACTGGGCACCCAGGGCACCAGGCACCAGCTACCCGGGGCACTGGGCATCCTGGGCACCAGCTGCCACAGGCACTGAGCAGCCAGGTCCTGGAATCCTGGGGTGCTGGGATCATGGGGTTGTGGGGGGCTGGGATCGTGGGTGCTGGAACCCTGGGGTCCCAGAGTCCGGGGTGCTGGGTACCTGGGATTTGAAGTAGGTCTCCTGGGGGGTGGAGAGGACGTCAGCAGAAGCAATGTCGAGGTGCAGCAGGATCTGGCGGAAGGACGGCCGGTTCCGGGGTTTGCTGTTCCTGGAGGAAGGGAGTAGCACGACTCTGAGGGGTGCTGGGGGTGCTGAGGAGGCTTTTGGGGGACCAGGGGCAGAGAAAGGCACATGGGGCACCCCCGGGGTGAGAGGACACCCCTGTCCTGCCCACATTGGGGTGCCAATGACAGGCCCCACGGTGGGGTCCCCCATGGCAGGGCTCATCCGTGACACAGGTGCCCACGGCATGCCCCCAGGGTGGGCTGCCCCTGGCAGGGTGTCCTCCCCCCGGGGTGCACCCCGGGCACTCACCAGCACTGGCGCAGCAGCACCTTGAAGCCGTCGGGGCAGCTGGAGGGCACGGGGAGGTGGAGGCTGTTGCTGCCCACGCCCCAGATTATGGCCGACGAGTCCACGTCCTTGTAGGGGATCTCGCCCGTCAGCAGCTCCCACAGCACCACCCCAAAGGACCTGGGGGCACCCACAGCCCTGTCACCCATGGTGGGGCACCCCCAGTGTCCTCCTGCGGTCCCCTGGTCCCCCCCACTGCCGTTGCCCATCCTGGTGTCCCCCTTGCCCCCTGCTCCTGTGGCTCCCCACGTCCCCCATTCCTGCGGTGTCACTCCCAGTGTCCCCATCCCTGGTTCCCTCCAGTGTCCCCGGTGTCCCCACAATGTCCCTTCTCCCTGTTGTCCCCAATGCCTCCAGTGCCCCCTGTTGCCTTCATCACCCCCTGAAGCCCCGTGTGTTGCTGTGTCCCCAGTGCCACCAGAGCTCCCCCGATGTCCCCACGTCCTCACCAGATGTCCACCTTCTCGGAGACGGGCTCGTTGCGGATGACCTCAGGGGCCATCCAGGCCACGGTGCCGGCAAAGGACATCTTGGTGCTCTTGTCGATGAGCTCCTTGGAGGTGCCGAAGTCCGAGATCTTCACCACGTCGTCGTAGGTGATGAGCATGCTGGGGGGCACGCGCTCAGCGCCACGCCAATGACACGCCAATGACACGGGCACGGCACCGCCGCGGGCATGCAACTGCTGCGAGCATCATCGGGTCACGGGCGCGGCACCGCCACGGGACGGCACCGCCATGGGCATGGCACTGCCACGGGACAACACCGACACGGCACTGCTACGGGGCAACACCAACATGGTGACACTGCCATGGGACAGCACTGCCATGGGCACAGAACAGCCATGGGGTAACACCGACATGGGCATGGCACTGCCACGGGACACTAACATGGACATGGCACCATCGTGGGACGCCAATGTGGACAAGGCAATGCCATGCAACAACACCAACATGGCACCGCCATGGGACAACGTCACCATGGGCATGGCACTGCCACAGGACACCAATACAGACATGGCACTGCCATGGGACACCAACATGGCACCACCATGGGACACCACCATGGCCATGCAACTGCCATGAGTGTGGTCCTGCTGTGGGGATGCCACCGCCACGAGCACGGCACCACCACAGTCATGCAACTGCTACGGGCATGGAACCACCACGGCGTGGCACTGCCACGGACATGCAACAGTCATAGACATGCAACCACCACGGGCACAGCACCGTCACAGACACGGCACCACCAAGGACACACAGCTGTCACTGTCACGCAGCCTCACGGGCACGGCACCGCCACGGGCATGCACCCACCCCGGGCACGTCCCCACCACGGGCACGTCCCCATCGCAGTCACACCCCCGGGGCACCCCCCGGCACCCAGGGGTGCTCCGAGCCCACCACCCCCCGCTCACTTGGGCGACTTGAGGTCGCGGTGGATGATCTTGTGCAGGTGCAGGTAGTTCATGCCGCCGGCGATGCCCATGGACCAGTCGACCAGCAGGGAGGGGGTGACCTTGCGCCCGGCGCGCAGCACCTCGTAGAGCTGCCCCTGGGCGCAGAACTCCATGATGATGCAGTAACAGGGGGCCTGGGTGCACACGCCCCTGGGGGCACAGCAGCACCTCAGCGCCCGCCGGGGGCCCCTGGTTCATCCAGGACGCCCAACCAGTGGGCCCCATGCCAGTGCCCTGTGCCCTGTGCCCATGCCATGTCCCCCCCACACCGGTCCATGCCATGCCAGGGGTCCCCATGCATGTGACATGTCAGTGCCTCACACCCGTGGCGTGTCCGTGACCGTGCCCATGCCATGTCCATACCGTGTCCATGCTCATTCCATGGTCATGCCCAGGCTGTGTCCCTGTTATGCCTGTGCCCATGCCATGCTCATGTCATGCCCATGCTGTGTCCATGCCTATGCCATGTCCATGCCATATCCGTGCCCTGTCCATGGTGTTCCCCATGCCCACACCACATCCATGGCCCATGCCGTGTCCACGCCCATGGAGTGTCTACGCCTTCACCCCTCATACCTATTCCATGTCCATGCCCTGTGCCCACATGTTCTAGCATGTTCCATGCCCTTTGCCATGCCCATGTTCTGTCACGCTCATGGTGTTCCCCATCACCACGGCTTTCCCATGCCACATCCACACTCCATGACCCTGGCATGACCATGCCCCACACCACGTTCCATGCTGCACACCATGTTCCATGCCCCATGCTGCATCCATGCCCCAAGCACAGGCTGCCCCTGTGCCCACGGTGCCCCCATGCCCAGGGTGCCCCTGTGCCCCCACACTGGCACCAGCGGCCCCCCCGCTCACTTGAAGGTGATGATGTTGGGGTGCTTGAGCTTGCGCAGGTGTTTGATGTCGGTCTCCTTGAGGTCCCTCACCTTCTTCACGGCCACCTCCTCGCCATGGAAGCGGCCCAGGAACACGGCGCCCTGTGCCCCACTGCCCACCCACTGCAGGTCCAGGATCTCCTCAAACGGCACCTCCCAGGGGTCTGTGGGCACCCACGGCCATGGCACCCCCACAGCACCCAGAGCACCCTCACACCCACGACTATGCCACCCACAACACCCCCCTTTGCCCTCTTTCCCCCTCACACCTTCCTTTGCCCCCCTCATACACTATTTACCCACCTTTGGACCCTCCTTTGCCCCACTGCCCCGTCCTTTGCCCCCTCTTTTGCCCCCTTGCCCCCCTCGCACCCTCCTTTGCCCCCCCTTGGACCCTCCTTTATCCCCTTTTCCCCTCCCTCCTTTTCCCCTCTTGTGCCCTTCCCTCCCCCTTCGCCCCCTCACACCCTCCTTTACCCCCTTGCCTCCTCCTTGCCCCCTCCTTTGCCCCCTCACACCCTCCTTTAGCCCCTTGCCTCCCCCTTGCCCCCTCCTTTGCCCCCTCCCACTCTCCTTTACCCCCTTGCCCCCTCCTTTGCCCCTCACACTCTCCTTTACCCCCTCGCCCCCTCCTTTGTCCCCTCCTTTCCCCCCTTACCCCCCATGCCCCCAGCCCCCCCGGCCCTCCTTTCCCCCCTCACCCTCGGGCGGGTGTTTGTGCTCGGCCGCGTAGGCTTTGCCGATCATGGTCCACACGGGCTTGAGGCACCCGAAGAGCCCCTCGAGGAAGCCCCCCCCGGCCTGGCAGCGCAGGTGGGCGGCATCGGCCGCCAGCGGCCCCGCGGCCTCGGGGCCCAGCTCGGGGGGCCGGGGACCCCCCCGGCGCGGCCAGGCCTCGGGGGGGGCGGTGGGGGCGGGCAGGACGTCGCGCAGGACGCACTGGGTGGGCGTCAGCTCCTGCTCGGGGGTCCCGTCCGAGGGCAGTGCCAGCGAGGGCGACGGCGTGCGGGTCTCGTGCAGACAGGCCATGATGGCGGGACCCCCGCCCGCCTGCGGGGCACGGGGGTCAGCGGGGCAGGGGGGG